CAGAACGTGTAGTCATCCCGAAGAGGTTACAACCAGCCGTCCTGAATCAGTTCCATAAAGGGCACCCGGGAACAATCAGGATGAAGGCCCTCTCTCGGAGTTATGTCTACTGGCCTTTGATGGACTCCCAGATCGAGCAAGTCTCGAAATCTTGCCTGCGGTGCGCTGAAGCATCCAAGTCACCGGTGAAAACATGCCTAAGCTCGTGGCCGCAACCGACCGAACCCTGGTCTCGTCTTCACGTCGATTATGCGGGTCCAGTGGTTGGCCAACACTTTTTGGTCGTGGTCGACGCTTACAGCAAATGGCCGGAAATTTTTCCGGTGAACAGCCCCACAACTGCCATTACAGTCCTGGAACTCCGGCGATTGTTCAGTCGGTTTGGAACGCCAGAGACAATTGTATCCGACAACGGCAGTCAGTTTACGTCGTCGGCGTTCGCACACTTTTGTCGGGAGTATGGCATAACGCATATTCGCTCGCCGCCGTTTCATCCACAGTCGAACGGCCAAGCGGAACGCTTTGTTGACACTCTCAAGCGGGCACTTCAGAAGTCCAGGGGGGAGGGACCAACGGAAGAGATTTTGCAAAGGTTCCTGCTGGCATATCGAGCGACGCCAAACCCCAACTCACCTGATGGAGTATCACCAGCAGAGGCACTGCTCCGAAGGAGGCTCCGAACACCGCATGACACTATCCGGCCACAAACGAAGCAGGCTGGTCACCGCAACACCAGAATGGAGGAACAGTTCAACCGGCATCATGGAGCAACTGCGCGCGCATTCAGCGAAGGCCAGAGAGTGTTGGTTCGTGACTACAGCGGCAGACGCCCTACGTGGACCCCAGGACTCATCCTTCGCCGGCGCGGCAAAGTGCTCTACGAGATTCAAGTTGGTCCAGCCAAGTGGATACGCCACGCGAACCAGATCCGGCCGACAGATGCGCCGATCCTGCCCACAGGACCGAGTGATATGAGTCTAGAAATGCTTCTGGACACTTTTGATCTCGGCACCATCCCAGGAAGTCAATCAGTTGCTTCGTCAGAGGCCCAGCCTAAGCACGAATTACAACCGCGACGCTGGACAGACAGGATCCGCAAGCCAGTGAGGCCAATGCAAGTGAACCCCCGGCTTCGAAGCTACGTCAACAAACTTCAAGGGGGAGGTGTTAGGCAGGAATCCACGCGGATCCCACTATACCGCACGTCTTTAGGCGCTGCTACGGCCGAGAAGCCTGGCCCGCTCGAGGTTGGCCCAAAATTCGGGACGCTTGCCGGTCCGGCATCAAGACGAGATCTGATTGGTCAACAATCTGGACCCAACAGCCAATCATGACCCAGTATTGGCCAAATGCCGGTTGCCAATGGAGCTCCAGAACGCGTCAGAAATTCCAGAAAGTTATAGCCGCTTACGCTATATATACGAAGCGCTGTACAACTGTTCCTGATTTCGTTTTGGGCGTTAATAGGCCTTGTGCATCTTTGGTGGTTGTTTTGACGTGAACGCTAGCTTGGGAGGCTCAGACCGTGAACTAAGCTGAGGAAAGTACCGTTACTACAGTAGCTATTATCTTAGAGTCACGTGTCCATCACTGAGACGTTAATTGCAGCCAATGAAACAATGGAATGATTTTTGTGAAGAGTTTTTTGAAGAACTTTATTTAAAGTTGTCATTTAAACGTCAACCGAGTTTAGAAAACTATATCGCTTCAGGGACCTGGTTTCTGGATATGCCTAACAAAAAAGGCAGGAAATGAAAACTCTTTTTTTCTCACATGGGGTTTGCTAGTTATTCGTTTGTACTGCCGTACGGGGCCTGTGATCATGCATTTGAAAAGAAAATGTCTAATGCTGGCTTGTGCTATAACATGCGCATCCGCCTCAATGGTATTTACAGAAAATGTTTTACTGTACCAGAATCGTATATTTATGACTTATATTTCACTGGCATCAGAAATAGTCGTTATTGCCTAGTTTGCTTTGTTTTACTGCATTTTTGGGGTGTCACTGGCAGTCGTAGCCTTTTGTGTTTGTTCATCTTCCTAAATATTATCAGAGACGCCATCCAAAACACAAGGAGAAAAATCTAGTTAACCGTCAGGCTGGTCAAAACCGATTGATGACAAAACCGAGTAACTGCTGGAGCCGTCATACTAGAATTCCACAGTCAGACAAACATGTCCAAATTGACAGGCGTTCGAAATGTCCAGGAACTTGTGCGATTCAGTAGGCGTCAGTGTAGTGATCCGTCAGAACGATGATTCACATCATCAATGGCCAAACGAGAAGGAGCATTTCAGATACAACCGCAATGTCAGTGGATTTCAACCACATGCTTATGTCAGAACAGCTTGAGACAAACAAATAAACAAGATCCGGAATAATACTTAAATGGAACATTAAATGAGCATTTCCTTGGGTCGTATAATCTTCGTTTCCTGTGTTATTCAATTTCAATTGGTTTGCCTGGAGGAAAGCATGAAGTGTACTACCTCCCCTGGTAGATCCTTGTGGTGGAGTTGTAGATTTGCCTGTCACGGTCTTTGCGCCTCTCACTATTAAATTCGCGAATTTCTGATGAGAATGTTCCTAATTTTTAGTGACAGTCAAAGTTTCCCGAGTACGAATTGAAACCCTCTGCGTTGATATCAAAATATTGAATAAAATGTTAGTTCTACAAGGGCTGGGATGCCATTACAAACTTTGTAGTTCTCTTCTCCCCCACTTTGTTCACCGGTTGGGCGTTAAACATGTAAGCCAGCAAGAGAAAGGCGAATGCGTATTACAAACTTCCCTCCATCAGCTAAAGACGATGCCCTAAGGACCTATGCACTTTTTCTACAGTAGTACGGCGCTGATTCCTTGAAGAACCTTGTGGTGCACCTACTGTTCACCGTCGAGGTTTTCTAGTCTACTTGAATGACACCTTCTGGGGTTTCATCATGAATGGGGTCTTCAACAAAGATTTCTAACTAAAGATTAAGTTGATATCGAGCACTAAGTGAACATCGAGAAAAATTCAATTCAATTCCACACGCTTAGATTCGCTTAGTAAGATTTAGTAGACATACCATCAGCCGTGGATCGCCAGTTTAACAATGAATTCGTTTTCTAGGTTTTGCAGCACGACAGGATCAAAATTCAGTTTTGAATTTTTAGACTGGACACGACTTTGAATCAAATGTCTCATAGTGATAATGTCCCTTTGGATGACATTTTCGCAAAGATACTTTTTACGGCTGTTTGTGAGAAAATCGATGAAACGGTCGTTTGCATCGTGTAACATGTGTGGCAGATTTTTCTTAGTATATTCGCTGCCTTCCAGCGGCTTCCTATGCAGCAATCTCCATGACGACTTGCGGAATGTAGTGAGGTGTATCGATTTGTAGATTCCATGAAATATACATTCATGCACTTTACCAAACAAATCGAGAAAAAAGGACTGTGTTATTGCATTCACTTGCCTCAATAAATCTGAGGCCGGAAGCAGCAGATGTTTTCTCAAGAATTTTTCTGGATATAAGGCAGACTTCATCCAGATAAGAGGGCATGCCGATATTTTTCGGCGTTTTTTCCAAATAATCTGATATCATTTATTTATTAACTGACTGTTTTTCAGTAGAGCCGCAAAATTTTCGCTGCCGTTTCGTTCCACCTTGGTAGACTTCATCAAGCCGGGGAAGGATTATGCAGTATTTTCGCTCAGCTTGCGTACCCCAATAAATTGTGAACTGCAAACTAAACCGAATATTTCGTTTATGATATTCAACTGAATATGCTGCACAAAGGCCGCTTATGATGATTGAGGCTAACATCATGCCAGTTTGGATTCATGATTATCTGCTCTGTATGGCTCCCATTCAGTCTAGGACCGGCTAATCTTTTCACACCATTCTGCAATGTGCAATCCTGAATGTAGACCATTTGCAGTATATTCGATAAAACATTAGAGGTGGTGTTACCGACTGCTACTGCATCACCGGATTCTGGACGCGCGTCGATCCATATTTTCTGCATGTGTAGCTCTCCGCACAAGCCAAGGCAGTTGTTGAGGTAGTCGGCCAATGTTGTATCCGCTCAATGACTGATAAACAGAAGTACAAATGAGTGTACAACTGGTTGATGAGATACTTCTAATATTTACGTCATTCAGTTCAATGAGAATGGGACGACAATGAATTCGCTTGTGTGAACCATGAAGTTTTGTTCACGAACAAAGGTTTTGCTGATCGACTGAGTGTAAGGAAGAGGAGGCAGGTAGAGAAAACACGAGTTATGGTGCCTTTGCTACCTGGTAGATAAGCCAAGCATACCTCAGCCCGAAACAGGGAGATTAAAAACTGCTGTTTGGAATCCCGTCCAAATTTTTTATGCCTTTTTGAGGTCTGGTTTGGTAAACATCTGAAGACGGGTGGACCTACAGGCCGTTTAGACATGTGAAATAATTTTCCTTTGGCCTCCGCACCGGCCATCTGATCTCATCAAAATATCCTAACCCCGTAAGTGCTACCTGCGTAGCACCTGTCGCCAGCGCGTGTTATACCCCACGGAGTGAGCCTGAGCTTCTCCGGCGTCTATATGAAAGTCTGGATGAATATCATCCCGAAAGCCACAAAAAAACCTGGCGGGTACCATGCCTGTTCATTGTCGTCTGTAGTGCAGTTCATCTGTGGGCTCTGTGCCGATAAGTTCGTGAAGACTTTGATGCATACTTTCGATGACTTGTTTGTCCACATGACCAATTGCTGTACTTCTAATTCGTCGGAGTCAGTATTCAAAGGTAGCTGACCTTTGTCTATTGCAAATGCGCCGAAAAGGTCCACCGATGCAAGGATGACTTTTACTGCTTTTGATTCCGTCACGCAAAATCGTTGCGTATGTGATGCGATCTCATTCAGTGCTCATTCTAATCCACTTATTATTTGTCAGAGCCAGATTGTGAACAACAACATAAAAGGATGCGAAAGCCAAAGCCCTTTGTTCTTCTCTTCACCCATAAATTGTTTCAATAGAAAAGAATGACGTTTTGTTCTCCAGTTGAATTTATTGGGTCCAAAAATTTCCAAAAGTGACTTAACATGGAGGTAGCTTGATTGTTTCTCCATGCAGAGCCTTCCATCGTTTACCAGTACGGAATGATTCAACGTCTGCAATGTTCTTGGCGTCTCTCAGGTGCACCCAGTTCTGTGGAGTTCCATGTAGTATCTTGCTCAATGGTGGATGATGCGTTTTATCCGTGTATACACATCGACCATAGAAATCGCAATATGTGCCGTTTGGACAGCAGTGTGAACGATCACTGCAACATGTAGCCTAATAGAAATTGAAATTAACCGAAAGAAATAGGACGCTTTTGGAAGAATATATATATATATATCAGTATATATAGAAGTTAGTGCGATGAAGTAAACTGCAGTACAAATGTAAGTTCTGTGGAATATAATTCACCGCCTTACATTTCGCTGACCTTGTGGTGTGATAAATATAGCCGTGCTGATATCATACTAAATGATACTTAATAAGAGTAGCGGTAAATGTCCCAGAAGTGGAGGCAAATTCAAGGTTCACAGTATCATGCGTAGTGCATGAAACTTATCCTCGTATTATAAAAAACCCTAAAGAGTTGGTCCCCGAGCGAACCGCTTAAGACCGAACAACAAGATAAGAGGTGTTTACAGCAGTTATTACCATGCGGCGTGTAATCAAAAAAAGAGGCTTTGCAAAAGCCATTCACTTGTGGTGATGTCTTCAGTCAGTATTTTACCTGTTTTCAACATGAACAATGAGATTCATTGTAAGAAAACGTTTCTAAGCGGGTTTCTGAGACAGTAAGCACATTCCTTCTGTTTAATCTATTGTTCGTTGGATTCGGAAACTTACGGTGAACATGTCAAACCAGTGTGTTGATAGTATGATGGATTGGAGAAGTTTGATCAACCCATGCCTAAAATCCGAGATGTACCCTAGGCCTTTTCACGCTTGTTAGGAACCATCAACAGTATACAACTCAGAAATCTCGAGGAAGATTTGAGCTTTCAACCCTCCGGTTAGTAGTTGGGGATCAAATAACTGAACAACAACCGATGATCAGCAACGTGATTCATTCGCACTGGTGACCAGTGGGTGAAGTGCCAAATCTACAATAGCTAACCCAAAAGCCTCGCGTATGTATCGTCCCGGAGATTTGTGTAGTGTGTATCCAAACAGTAAAAATATCTACACAACATGTGAGGATTCTGTGATCAGTTGCTGTGAATTCTGAGCGACACTGTAATTTAACTGCTAAGTAGCCACCCGCAACCAGACGAATTAGCTTTCAAATGCTATTCGGAAGGCGACAAGTTCGAGTCTCCACAGGAGTTTATGATTTTTCATCTTTGACTACTGTCTACAAAAAAGACTAACTAAATATTTCACGCATAGAACGACCTACTTCAACAAATAATCACCAATGGAACATCGGGAGTTTTCTTAGCCTACTGGCGAACTGCAAGTAGCTTGGATAAAAAATAGTTCACAGGACGAGCGAAGCTTCCTTCTGAGAAATTGAAGGATCATGAGCACACGTGAGAGAAGTTTCAAAAACACTGTGAGCTGTGCTTACTCCCCTCTGGGTGAAACTTAAACAAACTGAACGTAGCTGGATAGTTTTCATCAGCAATAAGCTCATGAAACGTTTGGGTAAACGATAACTACAAGGAATGTAGGACACAATCAGTAATGGAAATAATTTCAATTAAAAATAACAACGTGCAAGCCTTGTCAAACAGCTAGGTAAATTTTCCGGTACAAATTTTTTACAAGGTCTGGGGGCAGGATAAATTTAACACATAAATGTGAATAACGGTGCAAAAAACGACATTTTACGACTGTTTGTTTTCCTGGGATCTTTATTTGAAGATAGACATAGAAGGAACTCAGGTTTAACAGTTAGATTATTCTAAGATTAAAACCCAAGCATGACGCCAACCGAAAACAGTGTAGTCGAGCTCACGGTCTCCGTATACGTTGGGCGTTGGATAACTCATCGAAAGAGGTCATCCACATGAGCGTTTTTCAATACCACTCTAAAAAACAACTATCAAAGTGTTCCGCTTTCAAAAGTTCACTTGATGCTTAAGCGATTTCCTGAAATAAATCTCGATTAGTAAAGATATGGTTCATATCACTTAGTCTAAGCGAGGATCTGGGTGCATAGTCACTCAGGAGAGCAGACTCACCATCCTGGGAAATCTGTATATATTTACAGAAGTAAAACAATTATTTATGAATATGAAAATCAAATCTATCTTATAAGGTTATTGGAACGGCATATATATCATACGGCTCGTAGGTTGCATTGTGTCGATAGCGAACCTGCCAATCATGGTGTGTATCTTGCAAAAAAAATCCACACCAATCGAGGAATCACCATCAAAATGTAGGTGATAATGGTGTCACCCCGACTGGTGACCAACGGCTGACTAGCTAAGTGCCAAACTCGGCGAACAGATCTACGAACTCCTTACCTGTGACTTGTAGCTGCACTCAGCCTCCCGAAATTTGACGCGTTTGCACCTGGTGCTTTATATGAATATATCAGAGTTCAAATGAATTTGTAATGTGTGTTGGATATTTACTCACGTTTGGAAGTGGGCAACAGCCGTATCCGTATTTTGGCAATGGACAACAAGTGTGATTCCACCTGCAGCTGGATCGCCTGTCCGGGCATGTACGATTTCTTGGTGCAATTGCATGGGTTAGTTGCTAAAGTAGAGTACAATAGATTTGTCATACTGGTCGTTTTATATTTATATGCATATACAACATATCTGTCTATTTATCAGACTTTCAGCCCTTAATCCTGTGTCGTCTGTTCAGGAACGATATAATCTTGGCTCTGTTTGAGACCGGTATGGGATCGACTGAAAAATGTAGAATTCGGAATCTATTATCCCAAGTAACTAACAGGTGTCTGTTGACTGTTAATCATGTGAAAATGCTAAGGTAGGTGGATAGTACCATGGTTTTATGATTAGCGACTCCTGAGTGCGCAGCATTCAAGATTTCACCCCTAAAATCTCATCAGTTCATATGATCTCACACGACATTGGAAACGATTCATGGAAGTTCCCTGGAACGCTTCTTACCGTCCATATGCAAGCAAGGTTTTCTCGGTAATGCAGATCTTCAAAATTACTCTTCGAAATTACTCTTCCAAGTGTTCAGAAAGCAAAACTGGAGTGAAACTACGTTTTGAAAAAGAAAACAGCTGACGAGCAGACATGGAGTGAACTATCCTGGAAGGTAGTCTATTCTAGATGAGTGAATGGCGTTTGAATTGACCTATACAAACCCATCGAAACAGTTATGTCCAACAATGCAAATGAGAAAGAATATTACTGCAGTGGAATGAAAATGCCTGTGTGTTGAAACGTCTTCATACAGCTGACGTTTTATTTCTTCTTGTTGATGCCTCCATCGAGATGGAGCTCGTCATTCACTTCGTACTGAGTCAGGCATCGCTGTGAACCGTACTAGGCCTCAAATGACTGGTGTTATGCTATTATTAATAAATTAACTATCTACATAACAAGACAGACATCATCATGCAATAGGAACTCACCCCAATCCTCAAAGCGGGACTGATGTTATTGCTTTGTCCGATTTCGGCTAACACTGCCGGCATGTAACACACAAGAACCGCAACTAAGACCACGTAAATCATCATAGGTGGTGTAAACCGACCCATCTTAAAATCAAGCCCGTTCACCTTATGAATATTTATACCTCAACACAATCCATCCTCCGCAAAGTGAGACGAATGAATCATTTTGACTGTATGCAAAACGAGTAGTGTGCTAAAACAGCAGATCAGACATTGATACTTGCTCCCAACTCTGACCGTTATTGCTGTCACAAATAGTTTATACCCCATACTAACAAACTTGTTGGTAGGACCGAAGTTCAGACCGTGAAAATTGGTAACGAGATTAAGGGACTAAAGTCCGTTTTGTGCAGTTTTGAAATCGGTGATCGATGAAGGAATGATACACTGTAAATTGCACAAGTAAACACCGCAACAACCTCCATTTGGTGAGGACAGGTCTAACATTTCGCTTTATGGCATCCTGAGGCAAACCACGCTGAAATTTGGATCATAATTGTTCACCAGATTCAGTTTTCCATGGGTTCTAATCGCATAACATCGTGAGGACTTCGACAGTGATGTGGAACTAGTGGAATGTTTGTTCACTGCTTAACGGAACGAGTCGAACGGTTAAACTAATCTGTGCAGAGCATAGGTGCGTGGGATACGAAAATTGCAGAAGCGCTGCTGTCTGATAACACAAAGGTGTTAGCGGCTTTTTCAGATCACTCGGCACCTCGTACATGGACTTTTCTGGCATGGGCGAATATTCAGTCCTCTCGCTCTTATTCACCATATTTAACGCGTATCCCCATTAAAAAATGGAGACATGCTTTGACAAACAGGGAATCCCGGATATTAATATCGAGGTTGTCTACAATGTAATGCCGGCATCATGAGTTTGGGGACTTCTCAAATATAATCACAGAACAAACAAACTATAAGGAGCTCAGAAATAAGAGGAATTCCAATAACGTCTGAACCTTCCATCTGAATAGTCGTCAGTGAAGAGCCGACAAGTGAATATGTGGTGTGAATTCAGTGATGAACAAGCGAATGTCTCTCGAGTCCAAGATTTAATTACACTGCTGATTAACTCATTGGCTGTGAGCAGCGTAGATGCTGGTTTTCATCACACCGGAAGTTTCAAATATCACTCTGTACTTGGGCCTTTTGGCATAGATAGGAATCATTCCCTGGACAAAAGCTTCGTTAAATCTAGCAGGCCTCACCCAGAGATCTTAGTTTATGCAACCTACGCGTGTGAAAATAATAAATACGGCTGATTGTCCCGCATAAGTTTGATCAGCTAGGTGTTCCATGCTGAGTTATAGTCACCATCCGGATGTGGCAGGATTCGGTCATTTGGTTTTTCTGTTGAAAAGCTACACTCCCAAAATCACTGAAGTGAAACCAACCAGTCTCCTTTTACATCCTATACGGGACTCCGGATACCGCTTGGTTCTGGGGGATGGAACGTAAAGCATGAACACGAACATGGCACACGAACAATTCAAGCGCGAATAAATCCCCTGACAATCATCTAGTGCGTTAGGATCAATGTAACAATCATAGAGGGTTGCTATCTCAAGGCCAGTCACCATCATCATCATCATTATCATCGACAGCATGACATCAGTGTTCAACACCTATGCTTCACTGCCGTACGATGTGGCATGAGTTTATTTGTATATGTGCAATTCATGGTTGTACGTGGGCTGGGATACTGCCAGGGCGCTCACACCTAGACAGAGGACGATTAGGGTCCTCATCCAAAGCCTTTGGCTCAAAAGCCTAACCACAAGGCAGCGGTGTTTGGCGGGAAGTACAAATGCTTTACCATTTCTACGGAACAAGTCGCCACACATGTTCCAACCCCCAACCTGGAGGGCCAGGAAACTGTGTTTGTCAGACCTCTAACCATCGACCAACTTGGTTTGAGAGACTCTATAAGTGTCTCTGGGACAACGCCCATTATATCTCACACCACGGTAGGTTCCAGTTTCTTCGTGTGTACTTCGCCGACTTTACTCAGGTCATACGTCCCCGAAAATTTCCTGCCTTCCCACTAGCCATTTTTCTCTTGGTTACATGGCAGATAAGCACCAGCATTTGTTCCTTTCAGTGATGATGACGATGTGCCTGCTCAGTTCAGTGACGAAATTAGCTTGAATATTATGCCCAAGGTCAAAGATGGGTTAGCTTGTAGCGACCCAGTCACACACAAACTTGACTCTCGAAAGTTTAAAGTACCGAATTTGGAGGGATTCTGTTTGCATATGAGTGCAATCGCTATGACTTAGCTCAAAATTGCTTTAATGGTATTTACATTCATAAATTCTGACTGGCGTATGCGCGGAGAATAAATGGAAAATAGGAGGAACCAGAACACCGTCTAGTTTGTCCAGAATAGCAACAAAGTAACAGACCGTACAGCGGGTATCTTTTCGAATGAATAACGAGGCGATTATTCACCGCTGTGGCTTGTGTTTAGATCAAAATTTCTACAGCGCGCGATTGCACGTCATGACATCTGAGATCTCGAGTAATGAAACTGCTTTACATCACATTCTTTTGGTGTGGAAGAAACTCCTGGAAATATTCCTTATATAAAAAATGTAAGAATAAATTAGAATACCTGGCGAAACATACAAAGAAATCATAGTTAACAGCAACACAAAATGGGAGCACTGGTACCGCTTCATTTTATTTAAGTTGAGAGCTAAGATGTAGAAAAAATTACGACATCATGTAGAACGGGGGATTTTAGACTTGTCTACAACAAAATTCCGATCCCCCTACACCTCCAAGACAACATTAGGCAATGAGGGTAGGAAGTATCAACATGAATTCCAATGACAACGATTCACTTTTTCCAGCCAAGCGCAGGAAAGGTTATACAGATATCATTCTGGGAGCCAAAAAGTAGCAGTGGGAATCAAACTTTGCGTTTCTGTTGTACCTCTTCACCTTCCCTGACGTTACTGGGTTATAATCAGAAGACAAGAAGTCGGCCAGAAAAACTGTCCCGTTGCGATTACAACTTTCTATTTATATGATTCACTTGTGACCGTATTTGATGGTATCTCAACCAACCAGTGTGTCTCCTGCACGCCCACGCCGGTTCTCGGGCGGTTGTTCCTTTGTCTCGGTTAACCATAGATGGCCGTCCGTGCCTTAGCCATGGGATGGGCGTGAAAATCATGTGTCGCTTGTTGACCTTTCTGCGGCATATGAAATCGGACGTGATTCAGAAGTGTGGGCGTAATCGTACAGCCCTGTTTCACATGATTGTTCCGCTACGCAGTAGGCTGGTGCGTAGCCCTATTAGTTTCATACACTCATGTCACATTGTGGCTACTCCTAGGTTTCCGCCACTTCGAACTGTACGGAAGCGATGAGTCCGAAACTACTGGGGATTGCCTATCAGATTTTTTTGTCGAAAGCCAATTCAAACATTGTACAGTTTTTATTTAGACGTACCTGGCACATCGATCAAGAGTTCGCCTGATCCGGTACCGCCTATGCCCTGGGGTAACCTTTTGCAAACATATATGGTGCAGTAAATTTTAGCCAAAGTGAAATCTGACAAAAATGGTGGTATCGAAATTGACTTCTATCAGTCTGATTGGGCGTTCCAAATTTCACAGTTATTCCATTACTTGCTCTAATTCTAAAATTTAGGTAAGACATCTTGACATGTCCACTAAGGACCTTCAAAGGCATGCTATCGACAGCCATTTTCAGTTGCATTACTACAGCCGGGACGTGTTTGCAATATTTTGCACGTCGTTTATTTATTATTCACTTGTCGGTTTAAAAACCAGTTGGTGGCGTGGAAAATTCTACAGATCTTCAAGGGATATATCATCATGGAGATGAAAGCCATTTATGCTGAAAGACTGAGAAGCACTGTACTGTTTTTCATTCTTTTTGGGAATCATCAGTGGTGCGTAGCTACCGAATCTTCAGAGAGTTACCAACTCTCAATCTCCGGGATTAGTAATCCAAACAAAAAGTCCGGCGACTACCGGTTGAACCGCAATGTGGCTTGCTTGCACTATGACAGGACATGGCACCACTCATCCTGCAATCACTGAATCCACATCACATCAAAATCACGTGTTGACTAGGCTCTTCCTCAAACAGGAACTTCATTCATCGTGTGGAATATTTTTTCTCTGAACTACTTATTTATTGCTGGTAGACTAGACAGACGTGATATTTCTTATCTCCAGTAAGATTGGTGGGCGTATTTTCCTCTGACCGTACCTGATTCAAGAATTTTAATAAACGGAAAATTTATTCTGTAATGTACTACACATAAGGTTGCTGAAAATCCATCGACAGCACACGACCGGTTTCGCCCTTCTTGGGGCTCATCAGGTAGGCGCAGTCCCCGGGTTTCCGTCAACCTTATGTTCTACTTGAAACCAAATTGCACGAAATTAGCGAATATACACTCATCTGCAAACTAATTTGGTTCTTTCGAGAGACTCACCTGGAACCCAACTGAATCTCTCGATTGTGATGTTTTCAAGCAAATTTACTCCTTATTAACCCGATAGCGCTTTGGGGTACGCCTGCCTTTTCGCTGCCTTTCGCCTGCTTACTAAAATGCATCTGAGTCTTGGTTCATGCTACTGACTCAAAGATGATGATGTCACCGCTGTGACAATCGTTTACATAATCGCTTACTGAGAGAGTTGCTTTAAGGGACAGAAGTTACCAAGAGCTTACGTATCTCTTCAGTATTGCAACATACTATAGCTCTTATTCATAACTTTTGATTTGTCATATCATACCAACAGGTATTTTAACATATTATCGCCCCTATTCATAACTTTTGATTCGTCATATTATACCAACAGTATGACAGTGACAGCTCATAGGATGAATCTTTGTCATATTCTGGGGCCTTTTTGAAAGAGAAAGCTGTCAAATGTAGCCCATGGAATTCACATTAATTTCTGACTGGCTTTTCAATTACCGATACTTGATTCAGCAGCATATCCTGCCCACGTGCAAGTGCATTGTGCTGCTGGTCATTCGCTCGTAGCCGGACAGTTCACTCTCCGGTCAATAGCCGAGAATCTTCTCGAAGTTATTTAAAATGCATACTATTCATTATTT